TGACAAAGATTAATGAGGGATAAAATCTATCAATGATGAGTGGTTAACATTGGATAACACTGCAGGGAAAGAAAGGCTAATATAGTGGGCCCTCCACATTTGCTGGGGCTAGGGGCATAGGACTCCAGTGAAAGTGGAAAAACTGCAAATAAAAATTCTATTTTTTTAATCTGAGAGAATACCTCTCTAGGAATCTCTAGATTCTCCAGCACAGTTCTCTGGTCCACATCTGGCAGAGGTTGACCATAGAATCATGGTGAGGACCTACAAATGCCTAGGAATCTCTAGGTCCTCCAGTGTGACCCTATGATCACCTTCCAGCAGAGTGACTTTAGAGAACATAGAGATTCCTAGAAAGAACCAATTAATGAAATCTGTGAATAATCAAATCTACAAGAGTCAAAGCTGCAAATGTGGAGGTTGACTGTAGTTTCACATCCTGATTTAGGACTCAGGGGCACAAGATGCAATGTGGATGGACCTATCACCATACCTGTAAGGCATCTCATCCCACTCAGCATCTTACATAAACTCAGTTTCACATAGAAACAGGAAATTTTAGTGTTTGCCTGCTTTGAATTGGAATCTACAGGAATGAGCAGCAGACTGAGAGATATTTCAGAAACCTCTTGACTGCTCAGCATGCTTTATAATCAGCTCTGATAAGTACCTTTATTTGGAGAGCATTGCCCCTTTCTTAAGAGCAGGGTTATCAGCATGGATGGCCATGCAGACACCTACTTTCAAGGGGATGGTATTCTGTCCAAAGGAATCCTCTATTTCAAGGTTTGCCCAGGTGAAGCCAGTTCAAAAAGTGAAAATAAAAAGAGTGGAGGGGCCTTGAAACTCCTTATCAGCAGTTAGCACTTAGACATCTGACTCAATAGCTTTGCATGTCACTGGATCATCTTCCTCTCCATTGTGGCAAGACACATTGTATTTATATTTAATATTAAGGTTATTTCCCCCTTAAATATGCATCACAATACATACAATAGGACATGCAACTTATGCTAAGCCTATGTCAACTTTTCTCCTCTTTCCTGGATATGCCTTAAGTGTCCAAACTAGGATGAGAACATGCTGAAATTAAATTTTAATTTAACATATCAGGTGTGGCTTGCACCTTGGACCAGGGTTCAATTCCCAGCTTGGTCAAGAAACCCACTGGGTGACATCAGGCAAACGACACTCTCTCAGCCTCAGAGGATGGCAGTGGCAAACCTCCTCTAAAGAAACTTGCCAAGAAAACCCCATGATAGGTTCACATTAGGGCTGCCATAAGTCAGAAATGACTTGAAGATACAACAAAACAGCACTCATGTTTAGATTCAGAATTTGATCCTTTCCAAATGTTTTCATCAATCTTTTGAAGATCTAACTTCTTGTTTCAGGATTCTTTTGTATAATTTAGAAAGTATTTTTCTTAGTTCTTTGAGTATGTTACATTTTAAGATATTATATTTCCTCCTTCCCTGGAGCACAAAAATATGATTGCTACTCAGTAAATTGTTCTAACTGAGGTCATAGCCTGCTCAATCAAGACTCAGGAGGTCTCACATTTAAAGGTCAAGATTTCAGAAAATTAAGGTCCATGTTAACATAAGGCACAGCAGCACTATAGATCTGACAACAAACTCTAATAATCTTCTTTACTTTTTACGTTATACTCCCAAGTTCTTTGACTCACTTTCATTTGTAGTGACCTTTGTATTAATGGAAGGATTTTCATAAGTAGAATAAAGTAACCCTGACATCATGGAAACTGCAACACAGGAACATCTTCTAAGAGCTATAGGCATGTTCTTTGTGAGATTTATGACTCAAAGACATAAAAAAAATTAAACCAATGATCTTGTACTCTGCTTTCAATGAGAGGCAGGATACTTCTCATTCTCATAGAATCATAGAATCATACAATCATAGAGTTGGAAGAGACCACAAGGGCCATCCAGTCCAACCCCCTGCCATGCAGGAATTCCCAATCAAAGCATCCCTGACAGATGGCCATCCAGCCTCTGCTTAAAGACCTCCAAGGAAGGAGACTCCACTACTCTCCGAGGGAGTGTGTTCCACTCTCGAACCGTCCTTACTGTTAGGAAGTTCCTCCAGGAGAAGGCGAGACTTCCGGTTGGCCATGGCTCCTCGGCAGGACGCGCATTGCTAATG